TCTTCGATTTAACTTTTGTTTTGTTTTGTTTTGTTTTTTTTTTTTTTTCCGAACGTAGGAGGTGGGAGAGGGTAAGAAAATTGAGGGTATCGCTCACTAGGTATGAGAAAGGAAAGAAAATGAGGATTATTAGATGAAAAACTGTAGTATCATTTCCCTGAAGATTAAGGTCTTCTTCGCCCATACGGTATCCTTTTAAAATCTAATATACTTTTTTCGAAGGAGCCAATGGGTATTTTGCTTGGGAGGTGGCGACATTTGAGAGGCCAAGGTGCCAGAACAGTAACGAAAGCCTATTAAGAAAGGAAAAAAAAATTCGCTGCATCACTGTACCGCAGCCGCCCCGTATGCAGTCTGCTCTCCCGTCTCCCCCACCCCGTTATCCCAACCGCCACCCCGAATTCCCCTGATCCTTTCTACCTCTAATTCTACCTCGCTTTTCAGCCTTCTCCTGTCTTACGAGATATTCAGCGTAGGAGGATCTAGAAAAATACAAGCCATTAAAAACAAAAGAGCTTGTATCTAAATTGATATTTACTGTTGCACTTTATCTAAAACATAGAAATAAAAGAAATTTAAGATGCTTAATATTCTTGATTAAACAATAACGACAATAACAAACATCACGACAACACAACAACGACGACTACGACAAACAATAATAATAATATTGATATGTGAAATTTACACGTGAATAAGATAGATATTAATTTGACTGTAGAAGTAAGTACGTCCCATTTCAATAAATCGAGAACTTTACTTGCAATGTAATAAATAGTACTCGAATATTATTGAGACGTTTCTCTTTTTTTTTCTTCTGTTTTCTATTTTTATATTAATTTTTTTAATATATAAGTTGTTAATTTAAAGCAAAAGTCCAAGTGTATTACAACTATAACATCTATTATAACAACAATATCTCTCTATCAAATACATACTTATACAGCAACTTTTATGCATAATACGATTATTCCCAAGCTGGCGGATTTTGCGAGTTTGTAACGCATCTTTGCAGGACCCTCAAAGCCAGGTGTATGCCGATTGGCCAACATTGGCCAACATCATGAATATTAATACTCGTGCATAGTCGTCGCTTTGCTCGTACCAATTGACGTGCGCAACGCAACAAACTAATGGAGACTTTGAGACTTGAAGCGAAACAATTGTTGCACTATTTAAATCAATTTAAACCGACAACTGCTCCATAAAGTCGTCTCACCTGCCCATTATGCTTTTGACCAACAAGGGCCAACGCCTCGCGCCCACCACCATTCGGCCACTTTATGAAAAATATGGGCACTATTATCAACGTCGATTGCCGAATGAAATTTTTCGATACGAATTCTTGGTCGCAGCCGCCGATTCTAGCCGTCGTACCTATTAACCTATTAACCTCGCAGCCAGTGAATCTTTCTCACTCGAAATTCACGGCGAAGGCTCTTGCTGCCCCAAGAGCCGTCCAGTTGCCAATAATCGACGGCGAAAGTCCGCCATAAAGCAAACAACATCCAAGCCGAGCCTCCTCGGATAATTCATCCTCGCACGCGCGTTTAAAAGAACGGGACGGAAAGCACATACGTACAACCTCGAGCGACTCTTATTCCCCGTAATAATTTTAGTTGGCGCGCGCTCCAAGCGCCTTCCAGACACGGCGTACGCCCACCTCCCCCGACCCCGGCTTAGCTAGAGCTAATTGGCAATTAGTTGGAACGAGGCCGAGGGACGTCGGACATTCCGGCGCGTCGAGACGCATACGGCTCGGACACGACAGCCGAGGGCCCTTGGATTATCGGTGCCGAGCTTTTCAGCGCCCGGGGGCCGTTGGTCACTCTCTTCCATCCCCATCCCACCGTACCCTCGCGCTCTCGCGCTCTCGCACCCTCGCAACCTCGCAACCTCGCACCCACGCAACCTCGCAACCTCGCACCCTCGCAACCTCGCAACCTCGCACCCACGCAACCTCGCAACCTCGCAGCCTCGAACAGTGAAAATTCTCGCGGCTCGAACGGTGCCGCAACGAGCGCTTAGCGCGGGCCGCCCGCTCGCTGGGCAGCGAGTCGAGTGTCCTTGGGACAACGTTCCAGCTAATCGGCCGTCGTCGAGGCGCGAATCGCGACGAGAGGTTCGTCTACTCTCATTACGCTCCCGGCTCTGATTAGCTACGGCCGGCGTTGTACACGCTGCACGTAAGGCGTAAAGAAGCGCCGAAATCGCACGGCGAGTAGGAGCGAGGCGAGCGCGCGCACGCTGGTCGGAAGAGAGGAGAGTCCGAAACTATCGCCTCCTGGTAATGGATATCGGGGAAATTAATCGAATGCCACTGCCGGTGTTGCGAATTAGAGGCAACGGCCCGTGCGAGCGAGGATTATCGGCCCGATGAGTTTTAATTGCCTCGCGCAATTCTCGCCCATTCGCCGCCTCCTTATTTCACATAGCGACGAACGAAGCAGCTTTTCTAAAGTAACGTCTTGGCTTTCATTATCCAAGGGGCAACAAAAGGTAGGTGAAACTCGAGGCGATATTGAACTTTTGCCACGTGTGAAAGGTACGACGCGCGGTCGGGTGAAATGTGGCGCAAATATTCGATAATCGGTGATTTGGCGATTTCGGCCTCTATTCTCGCTTCATTTATTATCGAGGCGGGGGGAGGGTTAATGTGTTCTATCGTTCTATCCTTACTCGGCACTTTCCCAAATCCTCAACGCCTCCCAGGCTGTTTTATATTTTTTTTGGCCTTGGCCGTTGCTTCGTAACGCCGCGATTTTGCAGATATATATATATATATATATATATATATATATATATATATATATTTTTTTTTTTTTTTTTTTTTTGGCGCGAGCAACGCGTTTTTTTGGCGCGAGTAACGCGTACGTAACGAGCGGGGAAAGGGCGATAATCGCGGTTCTCAACTCCAACTATTCATCCCCGTCACCCGGCGATTTCGATGTCAGAAAAGAGCGCGGCGTATCGTCGAGTTAGCGCGAACGACATTCCGTACGTTTAAGGGATTTTCACGTTGTCTCAGGACCAAGCGGTGCTTAAATGGAAAATCTCGGCCTGCTGAATGGCCGCATGCATAATAGGGTCTCTCTCTCTCTCTCTCTCTCTCTCTGTGTGTGCGTGTGCGCGCGCGTGCGTGTGCGTGCGCGCACGCGCGTGTGTGTAGTTATCGTCGTCGAGTTCCCCGAGGAGTTACCAGAGACGACGCGTGTGTTTCCCCGTGGCCCCGATGATAAATCTTACAACCGGTCCGATACGACATCGTCGCTGCGCCAGCAACAGCAGCCACACGCAATAATCTGCCTCTGGAGCCGGGGCAACGGGATAATAAAATACCCTTGTTGAGAGATGATACGCGAGTAGTCACTACGGCCGATTCACTTCGCCGAACAATAATGGCGATCTAGAGGGGGAGGGGGGAGGGAGCGATGGCTCACCGAGATGGTGGAGGCTCGGGAGGAGGCGAAACGCGAGCGAGTAGCCGAACCAACGACTCGTCCACGTGCATCTCGTCGATTTGCTTCAACCTTTATGCATCGCCCCTCCTCCGACCCTCCAATCCCCTCCTACCGCACGAGGAACGCGCCGAGCAAGCGACAGTAACAACCGCTGGTGCCCCTTAACCCCTTGACCCTCGGTCCCGCGGCCTGACCCGACCACGCGACCAGTCTCGCACTCGGAAAGTCCAAAAATGGCGTGGAAGCTCACGGGGAAGCAAGAGGGAGAAGAGGTTGCCGAGGCTCATTTTCACAGCTGTGGACGTGTTGACTAAAGACGCCTTAACCTGCTAATCGCCAAGCGTTTGTTCGATTCATCGATTCCTCGTCTGACGGATAAGAAGCGCGAGCGATGCCTTCGATTACTCCTCCATTACGCTCCACCTTGGCCTATTATTCTTCATTACACCCGCCACACCCATTATAACACACAATACATTGTTCTTGGCTCTGCATAGAGCTGCTGCATTTATTTGTTACTTTAGTCCCCAGAGGGCTTGAAACGCGACATTTCCATCATATAAAATCAATTGCAATGGCTAAGCTTCTTATTATTGCGCGCGTTATTATAATATAGAGGAGGGTGGAGCTTTGCGCTCGATGAACAATTATTAGCTGTCGTAACAAATTAATTATAAGACAACGACGAAAAGAATCATTGCGATGCCTTGGAGTTTAGTTTAGTCGTGGTAATTGTTCCTATAGTAGTCGACAACAACAACAACAACAACAAAAAAAAAAAAAAAAAAAAAAAAAAAATTATCGCTAATACTCTCTCGTTCATATAAACGTCCTCGTATATTTATAATGTCAGGTAATTTTGTTTCTAATTTTGTTATGCACATTAAGAGTGAAGTTTGAATTCTAAATGGTTTTTCTCCTTCTCCCGAATTATGTTAAAACTTAAGCACTAATTTTGTCGATTGTGTAATTAATTTTCAATTGTGACGTACTCTCTAGTCTCCAGCTCTAGAAAATCTAATATATAATCAAGTTTAATAAATATATGACGAGGCTAAAAGTTAAATCAAGTCAACTATAACTAATGCTCTTAATCCTTGGACGATAAAAGAAAGCAACATTACATAATAGAATAATACTCAAACTCGTGATAAATCGTCAGTACGATAATAATTATGTATTATAACGAAAACAATAATAACAATAACAATAACGGCAACGGCAGAAGTATCAACGGGTGTAGAAAAACATCAACAACAGCAGCAACGACAACAGCAACAGCAACAGCAACAGCAACAGCAACAGCAATAACAACAGCAACAGCAACAGCAACAGCAACAACAACAACAACAACAACAACAACAACAACAACAACAGCAATTAATCGTTATAAATATGTACATATTTTTATAATTTTATCACTAACGTGCAATCGATTTAAAGTTAATTATCTGACTCTATGAATATTCTTGAAGAATATTTAATGTAATTTACTGACAAATTGATTATGGCATTTTATGTTACTTACGCAACAGCTTATAACTTGATAACTTCTCTTCTGTATTATACTCTTTTAGCAGTTTAAGATATATATTATCTTGGATTACAAATGTCAAAGGTTATCGATAAAAATGTCTTTAGCATAAGAGGTGTACATAATTTCTATGTCATTTCCTTAATTAACTAAATTATCCATTAATCATACATTTAAATAAACTTGAATAGCCGGAGGAGAATTTTTATAGTTGCATTTCGCAAAAAAAGGCTCGTTTACTTAAACATTCTAAAGTAGATATGTAACCGTTCGTATCGATAGCCGCACACTGTTCTTGGCCAAAAATATAATTCGGCGATCCCTCTTGCCAGCGAATATATTCTGTATGCTCATCGACAATATTAAAAAAAATAGTGATCCAGGATCCAGTTCTGCAGTAATCGTGAATACCAATGTAGGCAATACTTTGGCCATCGGTCTCCGATGGTATTAATTCTTTAATTATTTCCCCCAATGCCTAAAAGATTAAATTATTAATTATATCTGCAAGTAATAAGGCCTGATAGTGTGTGTTGTGTGTTGTATATATGTATATATATATATATATATATATATAAAGCGCGGTTGTGTACACATGCATAGCTAGATACACAATCGTAAAATATTTATTTAACATATTACGCAATGTAAATTGACGTTTGCAAAGACTTGCTGCTTTTTTCATTCGATGTTTTAGTGTTGAAGTAATAAATGCTCGATAAGTTCAATGTATTTAATTCGATATAAGGACAGGAATAATTAAACCGTCGTGTAAATGAAATCGGCGAGTTGCGAGTCGCGAGTCCCGAGACTCGGCCTAACCTTACGTTCCCCCATGCTCAATCGACTAACGGCACAATTAACAACAATTACTAATAAATTCTTAATTGAACGGGGAAAATTTATTATAAGAAAATTTGCCCTCACTTGTCCTTCGGCGGATGAATCGATAACAGCAAGGTGGGCCTTCTCCTTTCGACAAAAATGCAAAGCATCGTGCCAGGTTAATTTTGTGGTATAGAGCCTGTGATATCCAATACCGGATGTGAATCGATATCCTTTCTCAGCGAGAACATTGTGACGCGTTTTCTCGATGAAATTAGTCGTCGACGTTTCAATAAGTATTTTATCGATTCTCGCTTTCATCGATTGCACTTCAGTCACGATATTTTCCAGGGAGCCGACCAGTGCACTCTTTTCCGTCGTTGTGCTCGCAGTTTTGACATTAAAGTCGTGGCCTTTGACAAAAGCCATCCTCGGCAGCATCACAAAACAAACGACGAATGCTCGATTCAGCAGCTGAATCTCCATGTTGTTATTGCAGAAAATACACTTTCGCAACGGTCGTCTTACGAAGTCGGGGAAATTTTTACGAATGAGAGCAAATTTGATAAATCCTCTGGCATAATGACATAATGGCATAATGGCATAATGTATGCCGCCGGCGTCTCGAGTATTAATCGGATTAATTAAGTCGCCACTTCGATATTCTATCTCTTATCCGCGGGAGAAGGGAAAACAAAGTCCGACGCGATGTATTATTGAGCTCCGGTTAGCCGAAAGGAGTCAGTCGAAAGGTGGCGTAATGTGGTGGTGATTTGG